GGCAGTTCCTCCATTGGGCCAAATCCGCCCGGCCCAATGAAGGAACCTTGGCCCAACGCTGGGGGCTATAAATACCCTCTGCTTCCAGAGGGTCAGGTATTGATCATTCTAACCTCAACTCTATTATCTGCTAGTACTCCCACTGACTTAAGCATCGGAGTGCCTTGCAGGTACCCCCCCCCCCCCCTCCTCGTTCAAAAAGCCTTCAGCTCGGAGCAGCCGTGACGGTCCAAACCTTCTGATCAGGTCAGATCAACCTCAAATTACTATTCTAGACATTTGACGTAGAATATTACAAATTATATAGTGTAGAATAAAAACTATATAAAATGACATTATAAATAGTAAAATAACATTTATATAAAAGATAAAAAAAATTATAAAAAAATTAGTATGTTTGAATTAACGATAGACCGAATTAATTCTAATATAATTGAGTTTGATAGAATTGATTTTAACATAATTAAATTTATGTTTGATACGTTTTATATAAAAATGAGTTGAATAATAAATTTCAATATAAAAATTATTCAGAATTAATTCTAAAGACATAAACTATAAATTATAACTTCAAGTTGAATTCATTATAGAGACAGAATCAATTTTATTTTTAATAAAGTAAATATTTCAAAATCATCCGAAATTAGTTTTACATCTCTAAAATTAATTCTAGATCTCTAAAAAGTAGAACCAAAGACTCACTTATTTGAATTTAGAAAAAAACGGATAACATTAATTTTATTTCTTTTTGGACCTTATACCGACCCAAAAATTATGCATCATCTGAATTCTCTTATCGTTTTATATGCTTAGCATGGAAGTATGCATAAGTATCATCATTCTAAATATCATTTGATCACCAGAAAAATATGTGTATTATTCAGAATCTATATGGAGAGGTCTAATGCAAAATACTTATATAGAGTTCTTTAGATATGGATGTATTGTTTTAAGGTTGTAAAAAAAATTTCTTCAAGTATGGTCATTAGTTTATTTTAATTTTTTAAAAAATATTCTAAGACATATTTTATTTTCAAAAACTTAATTTACATATGCCCTTTTTGTTTTTTGTTTTAATATTTAAAGAGTGAGAATCTAACATTCTAATGAGAATAATATTTAAATAATTATAACTCCCCACTGTTACTCGTATTTATTTTTTATTTTTTTATAATTTTTGAATTAGATACATTTTGTAAACATTCTTAGAAAAATCAATTTTTAAAAAACACTTAAATAGAAACATTATTCTAAAGAATAATAACGATGGAAATTGGATTTGAAAGAATAAAATTTCTTAATTTAAAACAAACACATCTTATATATATTTATTGATTTGCGGACTAAACAGTTGTTGTACTGAAATATTTAAGAAAAATTTAAATGTTAAATTATTATTGAATAATTTTCGTGAAGTCATGTTAACACGTATTTTTAGAACTTATATTAAGAATATTATTATTATAAAAATTTAAATATAATTAAATATAATAAAATTATATTTAAAATTTTAAAACAATGAAAACATGCGTTTCAATACAATATTACAATTAATTTATTAATTTGTGCCTTCGAGGCACATTTAGCTTTTCTTTAAAAGTATGGTGGGTAGAAATTCAGAAGTTTCAAGTCCTTATAAATTTGTTCAATAGCTTTTTTTTTTTAGTTTTTGATAAAATTGTCTCAAAAAATTTAAAATGATATATAAAAGATTTCATCATAGTATTTTGTAGAATTGTTAAAATGAATATGATATTTTTATAAATCTAAAAGTAAAGTATTTTTGTTAAAAATGTAATCACCCCAGAGTAAAAAATCTATAATTAAAAAAATATTATCTAAGAGATTACCATCGTTAAAAAAAGGAATTGTTGTAGTTATATAATATATACACACAAAAATTTGATAATTATAATATATTTATAACAAATTCAATAGAAATCCTAAAAAATTAATATTATTATCATTAAATCAAGATAATAATTTCAGTTATATACCAATTGAGTTTATTTCCTAAAAACCAAATATTATTAATAAATCTTTATAAAATAAGTGTCACTAAAAATTTCTAATTTAAAAAATAAATATATTTTTTATTGGCAAATACATTTTAAACTGTAAAAATGGACACTATAAAATAATTTACTATATGTTTTAATTACCATAAAATTGTTCAATATGTATATTAAATTATATTTATGGAAAATAATTATAAAACAAATCAAAGTTATGTTATAAATAACAATAATAATTTAATTAGTGAATAAATAAATTTGCAATTAATAATGAAGTTTGAATTCAGTTTTATAACAATAAATTCTCAGTCATAGTATTTATAGAGTGTGATTGCAAAATGTAAAGGATCAAGATAATAACTTAACTTAAATGTAAATTATGATAGTATTAATAATATGTAATTTATTTAAAAAATGAATAAATTTTGAATTAGTAAATTAATTTGATTGAAAAAAGTAATAAAAAATATATATAAATTGATTATTAAATTTTTTATTAATAATGTATAACTGTTAAATTGTAAAACATAATCTTTTTTTAATTTTATTTTGACTAGGGTGAAATGTATAAAATAAAATTAATATATAATTAAATTATTAAAAATGATTTTTTAATGAAAAACTGATACAAATGTTTTTTTTGTTTTATTATTTTATATTTAATTTTAGCTTATATATATATATATATATATATATATATATATATATATATATATATATATATATATATATATATATATATATATATATATATATATATATATATATATATATATATATATATATATATATATATATATATATATATATATATATATATATATATATATATATATATATATATATATATATATATATATATATATATATATATATATATATATATATATATATATATATATATATATATATATATATATATATATATATATATATATATATATATATATATATATATATATATATATATATATATATATATATATATATATATATATATATGTGTGTATCTTAAAAATAATAATATAAAATATAAAATTATAAGAGATTAAGATAATAACTTCACATAAACGTTACCTATGATAGTAATTAATAATAATAATTTAATTAGTAAATAAATGAATTCGCAATAAATAAATTGGTGTGAAGAAAAATTTCGGATACAAATAAATATATAAATGTAGTATTAAAATTGTTGTCTAGAAAATTACTAAATTTTTATTAATCTTACGATGTGGAATATAATGTATTTTAAATATTTTTAACTTCTATCTAAAGACAGGTTGTAAGAAGAAACAATTTTATAATAAAAAATCAATTACACAAAATTAATTTTATTTAGAGTTGCAGGAAATATATAAATAATAATATGTAACTTAATTAGTAATAAATAAATTTTCAATGATTAAAGTAATTTGATTGCATTTTTAATAACGGATATCCAAAAAAATATAACTATTAATATGGATAACAGATCAAAATATTAATCTTAATTCAATATCCATTTTAATAGTAGTTAATGATATATAATTTAATTAGCAAATAAATGATTTTGCAATAAATAAACTGTTATGAAGGTAAAAATCTGTTATGAATATAATTCTAAGTATAAAAAAATACTCAATTTTAATAAGTATTAAATTGTAAATGTATTTCATATTTAAATGTTTTTTAAATTTTAATTGGAGTTACGTGAACATTTTTAATTGTTTATAAATTTAAAAAATTATATTTTTATATATAAAAAATTATTTATATTTTAAATGTACTAAAATTGTACTTTGGTTATGATAAATAATGAAAAGTAAACCGTTTTTTAATTTTATTTTGGTTATGATGATTTTTTTAGTTAGATCTAAATTAGGGAATGATTTTTTTTATATTAAAAATAATTTATATTTTAAACTAAAAGAAACAATAAAATAATTAAATTTTGATTATGTAATATAAGTAATCCAGTCATTTGATTATGTTCAAAGATATTATAAATTAAAAGTTAATTCACAATAAATATGGAATTGTGTATATTTGATTTGGCGGAATTGGGTAGATTGCGAAATTATGTTCACACAAATTATAATGTATAATATTGTACACATGTGTGTTATAATACTTGAAATGAAGGAAAGTTTAATAGATAAAGAATTTGTTCTAAATGAAGATAAACACATCAAAATCAAATCAATACAATAGATGAAAAGCATGTAACAAATTAAAGTTAAATAACCGGCGAATATTAATATACATAGACTTATATCTTATGATCCTTATTATACATTAAAATTCATATCCAACAAATATTGATTGGACAATAGGATTTAAATAGATTGACAAAATATGTTTAGAGTTAGAAGAACGGTAGCATAGAGTATTGATAGAGTAAAGAAGAAAGAGATGATTTATAATTTGGCTTCATCTATTACTTATTGAAAGAAGAAAAAGAATGGAGTTTAAGTTGATAGGTTTAGTGGGTTAGAGGAATTTCAAGAATTGATAGAATAGAATGACACATTATATTATAATTTGAGTCGACAAAAATATGTATAGGTGACAACTACTTCGTATACACACGTTTTCCCCTGGTGAGTAACAATCTTAAACAAAACAAACAATGCCGATTAAGCAATGTTTTTTAAAACAGTTGTTTGATGTAGTTTTTGATCAATTGAATGGTTGATACAAGTTTTCATTCAGAAGTAAAGCTAATCAGAATAATGAAATAAAATTGCATTCTATATCATATAGTAAACTTCAAGAAAAATATCCTAGAGAACAAAATGACAGCAACATTAATCCCATGACATAGTGTGCCCTATATACACTTCAGGTTCTATTTTAAATAACACGAACATATAAGATAATGAAAGTTAAGTTTACATTGTTTAAAAATGGGAACATCATGAAAAATATCCAGGGCGCATTCCGGTACAAGATCAATAGCCACATCGGTGGAGAAAACATGGCGGTCAGAATATATGAGCAATGTCATATGCAAATCTATATTTTTGTCAAGGAAGCACAGCATAACAGAGAATTTCAGCAGACAATATATAGAAAATTTAAAGATATCTCTTATTTTAAAAACTATACAAGCTTTACATTTAAAATTTCAATATGACATAAAGCCCTTTTGCCTTTCTCTCTACAATTTACAAACATTTTACTAAGGGAGAGAGAGAAAGGGAATAGAGGTAACACTCAGACTAGAAATATTTTAAGTCGGTATATTTTAAGGGATGCCAATAATATGACTAGTAAGATGATTTTTTATTTTTCATTCCTAAAGGCAGGAAAAAGCTAAGTATTTTACAATGAAATTTGGCTAATACTTTGTTTTCAGAGTTGATAATAAGCAAAGAATTTGGCTAACTCTTAAGAGTGTATTTGGATGAAACATTTTAATATGGAAAAATAATTTTTAAGGAAATTTAAAATGATTCGACCAAAATCCTTATCTTTCATATTTTAAATTTGGCTCAAAAGTTTTAAAATTTATGAAAATGATCCAAAAAATTTAACAATGAATCATTTGAATACTCCATCCAAACAAAAGAATTTAAAAATGAATGGATTTCAATCGAATCATTTGAATTGATTAGAATTTTAAATTCCTTAAAAATTCTCAATTACCTCATCCAAACACACTCTTAATGTTTATGACCATTTTCTTGTTTTCCCTGACTTTCTAAATTTTATTTTCTTTGAGGATGGGTATCTAATTCTGAATTCTGAATTTGTATGTGTCTATCTACCTATCTTATCCAAACAAATTTCTTCTTTCATGAAAAGTAAAGATGTTTCTCATACACACAAATTCACAACAAAACAAAGATGCAGTGAACATAATCAACTTACCATTATTAGACCACCGAGAAAGCCATCAACTAGCACGCGATTCCAGGAATCAAAGTATGTGTGGATTGAAAACTTTGATTTGACTATGAGCCCAACGGAAGTAAATGCCATGAGAAGTAAGTAAAAGACAAATCCGTACAAGCCCGTAAATCCCAAAATACCAGCAACAACCCCACCAATTATAGATAAAAATGTACGGCTGCAAAAGAGACAGAAAATTCAGTCGTGAACCTTAGATAATACTGAACGGCTGTTTCTTTGCATCCTCCCAACCCACTCAACACATCCCTATTTCCCCTTTCTGTGTGGGTTACAAAAAGCACTTGCGTGAATTTTAATTCATATACATAGAATCATACAATTCCATCCATACTAAAACTACCACCCCAAACAACTTCTATACAACTTCTATAGTTGTTTTATGGTCCACACCCCACATATGACACTTTCAGCTATATGTATATATTTAACATAGTATTAAAAATGTGCGCAATCAAACCAAACCTGTAATAGATGATTTTCATGTTGCTTTGCATATTCTCAGCATTAAAAGTCAGCAACTCATTCACTCCATTGCTTGATTTCTTCTCTTATGAACCTGACCCAGAATGTACAGCCATAGTATCTTGTCTAACTTGTTGATATGTTCCTGTGAACAGAAAGATAACTGAACGATTTTTACTTGAAATAAAACTGTTGAATTCTTAACTAAAACTGTTGTATATAAATTTTACCATATAACGTTAATTTTCAATTTAGTTCACTTGTTTCAGTCTCATAAGCTCTATGTTATCTAAACTCCAGTTTCAATATTCATCTTTGTTAGAATTGTAAGAAAAGAGAGAGATGAGGAAATTCTGTTATTGTATTTCTTCTTCAGTCTTAACAGTACAAAGGATCCCTATATATAAGGGAGAGATGAGGCTAGGTTATAACAAACCCTGTACAAAGTACTTACTAGGAAATTAAGCTCTATAACAAGCTATATATATGTATCTCTAATAGTCCCCCTTAGAAGCTGAGGGTGCTTCCAGTAACTGTCTTTTGTTGACAACTCTGAGTTTGTACCTCAGAGGAAGAAACTTCACAGCAGAAAGAGGTTTTGTCAGTGCATCTGCCCACTGATCCTGGGCAGGCACATGAGCCACAGTTAAGCTTTTATTTAGAACCCTCTCTCTCACAAAAAAGATGTCTAATTCCACGTGCCTAGTTCTGTTATGAAGCACAGGATTATGAGCTAAAGTTACTGTGCTTAGGTTGTCACAGAGAATTCTAGGAATCTGAAATCTGCATTGAAGTTCATGAAGAAGAGATTGAATCCACAACAATTCTGCAGCCAGTTGAGCCATGCTTCTATACTCTGCCTCAGCACTGGACCTTGCTACCAACTGCTGCTTCTTAGACCACTAGGAAGTTAGGTTAGGACCTAGGAAAACACAAGCACCTGATGTGGATCTTCTATCATTTGGGTCTGCTGCCGAGTCAGCATCACAGAAACCCAGCAGGGATAAAGGCTGATGTTTGGGAGCAGGCTGAAGTAACAAACCATGATTTAGTGTGCCACTGAGATATCTAAGTATTGTTTTAACTGCTTTCCAATGCTCCTCCAAGGGATTTGACAAGAACTGGCACACTTTATTAGCAGTAGCCATGTTAACCTTTGCAAGTAAATCAGTAATATCCATTTGGTTTGTGAGAGAGTAAGAGATCCATTTGGCATATGAGTGACCTCAATCCCAAGAAAGTAGTCTAGTTGCCCTAGGTCCTTGAGAGCAAACTGACTATTGAGACTCTTGACTAGGCTGGCAATAAAGGATGGTGAATTTCCAGTGATGATTATATCATCCACATAAACCAGAATCAGAATGGTTAAACTTTCAGTGTGGAAGAAGAATAGACTAGGATCACATTTACTTGCCTTGAACCCACGCTGCACCAGAGAACTCTTAAGTGTGTCAAACCAGGCCCTGGGGGGCTGTTTTAGCACATACAGTGCTTTATTCAACTTGCAAACCAATGACCTATCAGCTGCTTCAAACCCAGGAGGCTGAATCATGTATACCTCTTCCTCAAGCACACCGTTGAGAATAGCATTATTAACATCAATCTGCTTAATTGACCATTGATTAGTAACTGCAAGTGTGATCACTATTCTAACTATTACAGGTTTGACAACTGGAGAAAAAGTCTCAGTAAAGTCACTACCAGCCTGTTGATGGAATTCTTTGGCAACCAGTCTTGCCTTGTATCTATTAGTGGATCCATCAGGGTTCTCCTTAACCCTAAAGACCCATTTGCAGCCAATGGGCCTTTTAGAATCAGATGGAGACACCAATGTCCATGTCTGATTCTTCAAAAGGGCATGATACTCATCCTGCATAGCTTGAAACCAGTGTGGGATAGTCAAGGCTTGTTTAACATATGTGAGTTCCATATGAGTGAGAAGAAGTGTAGGATTGAGCCTAGGTTTGACAATACCACTCTTAGCTCTAGTTCGCATAGAGTGAACATTTTGAGGATAGAGAAGAGGAGGGATAGAAGCAGAACTAGCAGTAGAATTAGATTGAGGTAAGGAAGAGGGAGAGATAGTGCTTGCTTCTGCTAGATCAGAAAAGATAGAATTAGGTAAGGGTGAACTAGGCTGAGATGAGGATACAGGAGGGGAAACACTGGAAGTAGCAGTAGTAGTAGCAGGAGAGTTAGCATATGCATTCAGAGACTGTCCATCAGAGGAAGAGCCAGCTGAATTAATGGGTGAGGATGGACTGTTTGAAGGAGTAACAGCAGGACTGGCATGATTTAAGGGAAGAATATGATGGACAATAGTGGAGGGAAACCAGGACATGGCTAAGGGAGCATTAGAGGAAGTGTTGGAGGAGGAATTAGAAGGAATATGGGAGTTGGAAAAAAGGTTAGAATAGGGAAATCTAGACTCATGGGACATCACATCTTTAGAAATATAGATGTGACCATCTGCTGCCAAACATTTATATCCTTTATGGACAGTGGAGTAACTTAAAAAAACACACTCCTGAGATCTAAAAGCTAGCTTGTGTGAATTATATGGACGAAGAAAGAGGAAGCAAGCACACCCAAACACACGGAGACTAGAATAATCTGGTGACTGATGCATCAATTTGAAAGAGGGAGACTTGTTTTCGAGGGAAGGACTAGGCAGTCTATTGATAAGATAGGCTGTAGTGACAAAAACATGGTCCCAATATTTAAGAGGCATTTTAAAATGAGAAAGTAATGTTAGACCCGTTTCAACTATGTGACGGTGTTTACGCTCAACTATACCATTCTGGTGGTGAGTATAAAGGCAAGTAAACCTGTGGATGATGCCCAATTCAGGAAGGTGTTTTGTGAGGGGTTTGAACTCACCACCACCATCACTCTGAACATTTTTAATTTTGCAATTAAACTGAAGTTCTATCATAGATTTGAAATGAAGAAATTGGGTGAGAGTGTCAAATTTCAGCCTAAGGGGAAACACCCAGACAAATCTAGAATGTGCATCAACACAGGTCAGAAAGTAGGAGTAGCTGCCTGAGGAAAGAATAGGTGCAGGACCCCATAGGTCACACACAACCAGTTCAAAAGGGTGATGATAGACTGTGTTGGACAGAGATGAGGGGAGTCGTGAGATTTGCCAAGGCAGCAGGCAGAACATAGATCAAGGGAAGGTTTGTGGGGGATAGGAATATTGCAGATCTTAAGAACTTCTGTGAGGACATAATGATGAGGGTGACCAAGTCTTGTATGCCATAGAGCATACTTGCTAGTGGCTATAGGAGAATGACAGATCATGGAAGGATCTATGTTAGGAATATTAGAGTAAGAGACGTTAGCATTAGAATTAAATGCATGGTGAGAATTAGGAGTATTTTTATTTATATGAGAAGCAGAATTACAAGGAAACCAGTTGCAAGTAGCAACTGTATTACAAGAGAAATTAGAGTTTGAGCTAAGCCAATTACAAGAACTAGGGCTAAGTGACTTGGACAGAGACGAGGCAGATGAGGCAGGATTGACAATCTGTAGAGTCCATTAGTGCCACTAAGAAGAACTTCAGAAGAATCATGCGATTTTACAAGGCAAAATTGAGGATGAAATTCAAAGAAAACATGATTGTCTTGTGCAAACTTGCTGACACTCATAAGATTCTTGGTGATATGTGGAACAAGCAGAAGGTTATCTAAGATTAGAGATGAATTGGAATGATCAGACAAAGGAAATTCCGTGGATCCTACAGAATTTATAAACAAACCTTGATCATTTCCCATAAACACCTGTTTTGCACTAGACAAGGAGGAAGCATCAGACACACTTGAAGCATCAGGTTTAACATGGTGAGACGCACCTGAATCAGGGTACCACCACTGATTGTTGAAGTTAGGGTCAGATCCTGCTAGAAACGCCCGTGGTTGCTGCTGCCTGGGTGGTGTTGGCCGTGGGGTCGGAGGATATCCAAAGGATGAATGGAAAGAGGGATGTGGAGCCATTGTGTAGGGATTGAAGGGAGCTCGTGGAGCTGAGTATGAAGGTGGTGCTCTAGAGTAAGTGTAACGATGATAGCACACAGAGGCATCATATCCAGGTTTGTGGCAAATTTGACACGAAACCTTGCCAAAACAGCCACCACCGCGACCATAACGACCACCGCCACGGCCATATCTTCCTCCACGAGAGCTAGTGCTATGATTTTCAGCATTAGCAGTCACATGACTGGTACCAGTGGGAAATTCAGAGTTGGAATCAGAACCTGAGTGCTCAGTCGAGTGCGACACTGAAAACGGTGGAGCTTGAGCCATATTAACAGATACCGGTTCAGTAATCACAGCCTTGCTATTCTTCTCAAGTCGCGATTCATGCGCAAGGAGACTAGACTCAAGTTCATCAAGAGAGCACAGGTCGTCTTTACTGTTAATCGCAACAACAATAGAATCGTAATCCTCAAGAAGAGCATCGAGAACTACCTCAATGAGATTACGGAGAGGAACGGGATCTCTGATTGACACCAACGCTTCGCTGATGTCACGAACGTGAACCACGAACTCAGCAATGGAACGCGAACCTTTCTTCAGGTTGCGAAGATCAGATCGCAACTGTCGTGACTTGGTGGTGAGCAAAGTATTAAAGTAACGGTGAATTTCCGACCATACTTGCCACGAATACGTGCAGTCGACGAGTTTCGGAAGAAGAGAATCGGAAATCGTGGAGAGTAGCCAGGTGCAGATAAGTGCATCCTACTGTTCCCAATCAAAATAATCTGGATTTGCACCGCCGGTGACTGGACCGGCGCCGAGAAGAAGACGCGGTGGAACGCACGGTACAGTAACGAACTGTTGAAGACGATGACCACGAATAACGCCTTCGATTTGCTGTTTCCACTGTTTAAAAGGGTTGAATATCTAACCATCAGGACGAAACAACGATGAATCACGATGCAAGGGACGACAGTGATGTTGTTGTGCGGAATCTCAGCGCAGAAGTGGGGGCAAGATGCTGAGACGGAGAAATCTGAAATATTTTG